GCCGTTAGCAGTAAAACTTTACATTTTCAGCCTTCTAGAATAGCTAGTACACGAGAAATGACGAGTCTAGCTCTTCTTATCCAAATTTTTCCTTGCCTAGTTGCTAGAAATTCGATATTTCTCGTAAACCAGCTGCTGTAAAGAGCTGAAAATCCACAGTCACGTTTCTAAGGTCCTATAGTATACAACTGTCGGTGCTAGAACATCTCATCATTGTTTTGGCAAAAACATGAAACTTCGTTTTCTCATCATCTAGCTGAGAAAAAGATACAGCAGCCGCATAGATAAATGTCTTACGTTGAATGTCTACACGCGAGCAAGAAAGAAATTTTGTAGAAGCTTTTTGAACGAAGTTACAATTTTGTTTTGATTGGTCTCAAGGTCTTCAAACGCATGGTTTTTTTCAGGTTTTGGCTCAAAACTTCGCGTAGATCAAGGCTGGTGGAGATTATTTGAGCACTATCTTGTAGAGCTAAGCTTGCTCTATCTAATGATATATCGAATCCTATTTGGGGTATAGGATCATTCCGGATTATTGCGGTTGTGCCTATCTTGGTGCAGGAATTATGCATCAACCTAATATATTAGGTTTTCTTTCAAAAAACATCGTACCAAGTTCGACTTAAAAGTGAACAGTTTGGTCGAATTGTAAATCCTCCGTTAATTGGTCTTAATGTTTGGTCATTTGGTCATTTGGTTTTCTTAACTAACAGAAACTTTGAGATTCTCCATCAGATCTATGTCTACCATAGTACTCAGCACCGTTGCAATTTTTTGCCAGATATGCTGCTTCTCCGTATTTTCTCGGAATAGTTTTGTGAGGTAATACTTTCATAAAACATTTTTAAAAAGCTTTATTCATGAATGCATTAGAGTTTGGAATCTTTGTGTCCAAAATTGTCTCACTGTTTTCACTTTTGCTGTGTTTACAGTAAGATCGCCTCTCAGATACATGGAAATGATTTATAAAATGTACCAGTGGTTCACCTCTGCTTCGCAGAGGTTCGCACTGGCATCGTGAACCGTGGTAAACTCACTTTCTGAGAGCTTGTCTCTCAAACATTGTTCGGTTTATTGCAACATGTCCCGCAGTTAAAAATGAACCATACTCGCTATCTTAACCTCGCATGATGTTTAGTATCGTAAATCATTCCTCACTGTAATTTCGTAACGGACAAACTCCACACAACTTTAGATTAAGCCGCTTATTATAAGCCATGATAGGCTACTTTCACTTGAACGAATGTGTGTCGCCCTTCTGCTGCATAAATCACTCTAATTCATATCTAAACAAGATTGAGCACTTTCATGCACTGTAATATTTTTAACTGCCAGCCTCCATGGTATAAAGCATCGAGGACTAAGGACTCGAGGATTAACTAGCAGGAAAAATGAGGTAAATGAAAAGTGGCAAACTTTGCGCCTATTAGCCCTAACCACCTTCCCACTTGCGCAGATATAAATCATGTCCATGTGAAAGTGCAACTACAAATCTTCGCGTTCGTATATGCATTACAACCTGAGAAATAGCCATTTTAGGGGGGAAATCCGAGAACTTTCTTGCTAACCTAATATGTACACCCTCTTGGTGAGGAAATCTGGCCGCACAACAGCTGAAATCCTTAACACGTTTCCGACCGGTGCTGCACATGGTGCAGCACCGGCTTCGAAGGTCTTTTTAACGGTTACAGGTTTTCTTTTTGTCCAAGGTTATCAAGTCAAAGGCCTAAGCTCCTTATTTTCAAATGACTCTGTAGAGCTGTGCCACCGACATTCGTTTAGAAGATATGAGGACAAATCGAACAACGGTTGCAACGAGGTGCGGCAACGCGAACGACACGTCACAACTTTTCTTTGCTTTTATTTCAAAGAGAAAAACAGTAATTTTAATGATGTGTACTGTGTACAACTAGATACTTTTGAGTACTATCAGGAACTGAGTCCTTGTTTTCATCTTTCAAGAAAGCACAGAAGTCATTTTCAAACGACAAATTTCAAACATTTCGAATTCACTCAAAACTTCGGGTATGGAGCTTATCTGACATGCTGATTACAGATGTAGCACGCAGTGTATGAAATAAGGTCTCTTTATTAGCTAAAAACTGAAAGTACTCTCTTTTTCGCCGCGCAACGATTTCGCGGTCCGAAACGTGTTAAGTTGCTTACCTGAAAACAAATATGTACACAATATTGTAGAAGAAATGTCAGGGCAGATTCATGGATGACTGAAGATTGTAGTTTCCTCTCCCAAATACAAGCACATACTGCAACTACTCAGACAATCGCGGAGGGCAGGCGGCCATGCGAATTTTGAGCAAGCGGGCGCTGGAAAAATAGTTCGCTGATTTCTTGTGGCCCGCTTGCAGAAATTTTGAGGAATGTTGACCTGTTTAGGAATGTTGACCTGTTTTCGGACGAATGCTCAGAGAACTTTCGCGGTTTTTCTATTGATTAGTTGCAGCGCATTGGCCGCATTCTCACGGACTTTCCGCAAGAATATGCGAAATTATTGAGGGCCGCGCCGTCCTTTGTGGAGGGCCGCGCAGCCCCCAGGTACTTTCTGCAGAGAGAAGGTACCTCCAACTTGAGTATTTAAACCAACGTTGACACCTCTGCCACACAGAGTCTTACCTGCTCAGACAATCGCTGGGGCAGGCGGGCACCGGAAAAATAGATTGCTGATTTCTCGCACCCCGCTCGCGGATTTTTTGCAAAGCAATCAGGACTTTTCGGAAGACCGCTTGCTGAGTCAGCGGATTTTTGAGAGACCGCCTGTTGAATTTTTTTTCGCTCTTATCTTTTGCAGATATATTGCTGAATCTCTGAGGAATTGAGAACTCAGCAAGCGGTCTTCCGAAAAGTCCTGATTGCTTTGCAAAAGCAATCAGGACTCAGCAAGCGGGGTGCGAGACATCAGCAATCTATTTTTCCGGTGCCCGCCTGTCCCCGGCGATTGTCTGAGTGTGATCGAGCGTGCTCGACGTAAGCCCGAAACTGCGTAAAAAGTGTCCGAGCGCCTGCTGAAAGTTTGGCCAGCGCTCGCTGAAAGAGATTATTTGACGAGCGCCCGCAGAAAACTCTGTATTCTGCCCAGCTAGCAGGACATTCGACAGTAAAGGAGGTACCGCCCGCTGAAGGTTTGTCCACGCCTCAAAATTCTGCTGACCGCCTGCAAGAAAACGCGAGTTTGCGGACGGCCTGGCCTCCTCGATTATCTGAGTACATGTAAAACATTGCTTCGGATGTCCATGAACAAAATCTTCGACCATCTAAGTTCTTCTCCTTATTGGTAAAAATCTCGTAATGCGCAGTAGCTAGTGGAGGCTGAGCATGCTCTCCACTTCACACCGTAAAATGGGAACAGAAAATCCCTGCTAATTTTCTTCAAGAAACTTTCAAATAAGATGGTCACCGTTAATAGCTGGTGCTGGCATTAAATCACCAAAAACAGAAAAACAAAAGATCTTGTCAAGAAATGTTCGGGGGAAGTTCTCTCATATCAAAGTCCTTGGGGAGCACCGCATTTGAGGGAAATTTCCGAGGATTTCCTTGGAAAGTTCCTAACTGTATTGCTGTCGACGTCGTTTTTATCGGGAAGTTCCCATTTCTCCCCTTCATAAACCTCAGTACTGATACAAGCTCTCGGGAAGTTTGGCAAATTGATTTGCCCTCGAGAAGTTCCGGTGAAATGTCTGTGGAGGAACCCAAGCGCGTTATCAGAAACCAGTGCGTCACCTCTGCTTCGCAGAGGTTCGCACTGGTTTTCCTATCTGTATGCCTCACTCATTCCCGCATAACATGACATTGGAAGTTACCGCGCAATGCCTGCCTTCACGAATAAATCGTAAACAACTTTTCATTCCGAAAGCTTTTTCGGGTGATATCGGTATTTTGTGTGACGAAGTTTTAGAAGATGGAAAACAAATGCAGAATCAGAACATTTTCGAATTTTTTCATGGCTTGGTAGTTGCCATGAAGATAATATTTATCATGACCTACATCCCTGTGCAAAAATTTCCTAAAATAATCATGTAAAACCGTGGCAAACCCGCCATTCACACAACCAATTTGTTTTGGCGCCGTTTTTGTAGAGTGATAGACTTTTGGTCACTTTTTTGGGCTAAACTTCATGGCTTGCACATTAACTTGCCAAACCTGACCACAACTCTGAAAAAAAAAGAGGTGATACGGACCCACTTTCGCGCGCCAGATGTTGAGTGGATCCTGGGGTGACTTTTCGAGAGACCTACTCAATGAATCCGCTCGTGCTTTTGCACAATTAATCTAGATGTTGGCAGTGTGTGTTGTGCAAAAAAATTGCGGCTTGACACCTTGTTTGCGACTCGTTCTGTGATTTCGTTACAGACAGACAGACAGACACACACAGACACACACACACACACACACACACACACACACACACACACACACACACACACACACACACACACACACACACACACACACACACACACACACACACACACACACACACACACACACACACACACACACACACACACACACACACACACACACACACACACACACACACACACACACACACACACACACACACACACACACACACACACACACACACACACACACACACACACACACACACACACACACACACACACACACACACACACACACACACACACACACACACACACACACACACACACACGCACACACACACACACACACACACACACACACGCACACACACACACACACACACACACACACACACACACACACACACACACACACACACACACACACACACACACACACACACACACACACACACACACACACACACACACACACACACACACACACACACACACACACACACACACACACACACACACACACACACGTAGACACCCTTAGCCCGTTATTCTAAGTCATGATATGAGTATCGCCAATCACTGTGACTTTAGCCAGTTCGGCAGACTCTCATTTTGAATAGAAGAATTGATAGAGCGATGGATGAAAGGTAAGCTGCCTCCAACGTTGCCTGAATTTTTGTGAGTAGCGCTTTGAAGCTTGTCGTACTTAAAGGCAGTATGCGGGCAAGATGGGGTTTTGGGTTTCAGTGCCATAGGAGAGTGGCCCCCCCCCTTCAGACACGACATCGCGCAATTGCGACGTCATAACTCTCGACCTAAAGCAAGAACGACCGGAAAGTAGGGAAACTTATGTCTTGGGGCGGGGCCCTCCGACCTGCTTGATATACTGCTATGAAGGCAGAGTACGCATGCCGCTACAGTCAAATTTGTAGGATCGCAGCGACTCTGCGTCTCAGCCTTGGCGGAGACTGCCGAGCTTCAAATTGTAAGGCTTTGGAAAACCCATGTTCTCGTCGTTTTAGCGCTTTTTAATGTGGATTTCCGGACTCAGCGTTGCGAATAACCCCCGGTAAGTGGTTTTCTAGAAATCGAGTTTTTGCCCGGACACTGCCTGTAACGCAGTCTGGTTTTGGCTTCAGATTGGATAGAAACACAAATCGATTTCGAGCCATTCTCAATCTTTTTCCAAGTCCGAGCAGATACGAGACGTCGGCACGCATCTTCTTTACGAGTATTTTAACATACGAGTACAATGCATGCTGTTTTTCTTTGATAATGACTGTCAGAGTCGTGCGATATATCTTTTTAATCTTCATATCATTATCTTCGAGGCTGCATAGTGCTCCTGACTTCTTGTTCAAAATGAGTTTCGGCACCGTGTCGGACGTCCTGCACCGCTGGAGATATTTGATCGACTGGCGGGAGTTACCACTTTTTGTCGAAGCGAAAGTGCTTTTTTGACTAGAGGAAAGAAACAGTTGTGGCGGTTTATCAGTAAGTAGCTTCTAAGTTTCCTCTTTCGTAAATCTCGGCATTGCCAGTGCATTAGAAGGTTAGTAAGCCGACCGAGGTAAGTAAGTTTTAAACGTCTCGACTTGTCCGTCTTCTGCTTTGGCCTAAGGCCTCGAGCAGAGTTCACGCGATTTCGTCGCGATTCAATCGCTACAAGACAACTGTTACGAGTCATTGCGGTTGATCAGTTTGCATTTCAGTTGTGATACTTTTCCAACCCTAAATTTTGAATGTAAAATTAAAATGAATGGGAAACGCGGCGAGTGGATTGCGACGATCAAATCGCGTGAACTCTGTCCGAAGCCTAAAGTGTTAAGTGATTCAATAATTTTATGTTTTAGCCCAGTAATATTCTACCTCGCTATTGATTCTTTGCATAGTTTCACCTACGAGGCTCGGTGGCACATACTCAGACAATCGCTGGGGGCAGGCGGGTACCGGAAAAATAAGTTGCTGATCTCTCACACCCCGCTCGCGGATTTTTTGGAAAACAATCAGGACTTTTCGGAAGACCGCTTGCTGAGTTCTCGATTTCTCAGAGATTCAGCAATATATCTGCAAAAGATAAGAGCGAAAAAATTTAACAGGCGGTCTCTCAAAAATCCGCTGACTCAGCAAGCGGTCTTCCGAAAAGTCCTGATTGCTTTGCAAAAAATCCGCGGGCGGGGTGCGAGAAATCAGCAATCTATTTTTCCGGTGCCCGCCTGCCCCCAGCGATTGCCTAAGTAGGGGTGGGGGGAGGGGGGGGGGGGGGAGTGAGCATGCTGATTACGAAAATATTATTGACAGGGACGGGCGGAGCCGGGTTTGCCAGCTGTTTATACTAGGCTGGTGCAAAAGTGCTCGTTTTGCAAGTTCTCACTTTGACGTGCTATAACTTTCTTAAAAATCCATATTTTTTTAATGCGATAAAGACGATCAAAAGCAGCAAACCTTTCTCAATACGCACATCCTTCTATAATCATATCACAAACGGGCAGAATATTATCGACTGATAAGCAAAAATTTTTTTTCTGAAACCTCTTTTCAACTGATAATAACTCACTTCAGAATTAGTTGGTATAAATGCTAAGTAGCCTTTCTTGTAGAAGCCAGTAGTACAAAGTAAGATGGAAAGAGCTCAAACAAAGAAGATTTTCGAGAAGAAAAACATCAAAATAAAATTGTCAGCTTTTTTCAACACTCTTTCGTAGGTCTTAAAGTCCCAAAACAAAGTTTTTTTTTGATTTTTTGCGTACTAAATAGCCAAACGTTTTCGCAAAAACTATCAACGGTAGGCCCACCCTTAAGCGCCGGGCATGCATCACGCGATTTCTGGTCGTCGCGATTTGCTGCAGGTAGCGACGAGATCGCGGCGACTAAATCGCTAGTTGCTTGTTTATGGACATACCTCTGCGGCGATTCATGCACTTTCTCCCACTTGAGCACATACTATACCTTCTCAAACTACTTATAAGTATTTGTATTACATTCGGCTTGATTATTTCATTTGTATTTCATTTTGTAGTCCAGAATCAATTCCAACCGCAGGATCACATTGAAACTCGACTCTGTTCCAGTATCTGGGCCTCACTGTCTCAAAGTCAATTTTGCTCAAACTCGGTCCAGAGGGGTTATTCGATCCACTGATACCAGACATCGTAATTGTTGTTGTGTTGGCACAGGTTGCAAGAAAATGATGCTTTCCTAAGTAATCATCATGATGATCACGTTCGGTGCGCCAAGAAACCCCCCACAACAAATTTAGAGCGAATCCGCGATTTTGACCCTCTACAGTAAACTCACGGAAGCCCCAGAAAATGGAGCTACCGTACAAAATAACCATGATATTCGGCACCAGCGGGTGGAATAACCCCTCCAGATCGAGTCTGAAAGAAATTCACGACTTTGAAATCTTGGGTCAAGGATAGCACCAAAAATGGATGCAAGAGAATCGATTTGCAGAGAAGCAATGCACTCTGACAAAATAAAACTATTTTGAAATAGTAGGCAAGAAAACAGCCCAAAAAGCTAAGAAACGATCATAAAAAGTTTCAGAGAAGAAGTCCAATCTTAGCGATTAGGCCGCGTCGCTCGTTCGAAGTCAGCGACGCGATATCGCCGAGATTCGGGCAAATCGCGACGATTTCAGTGAAGGAAGTATGCCCGGGGAAAAAGTGTTCAGTATACTTGGGACCGAATCGAATAATTATTCGATCATTCGAATAAATCATTTGAATGCGAATGATTTGAAAAGTCGAATATTCGAAAATCTGAGATTTCGATTAAAATTCGAAACTCGAATATTCGAAATTTTCAGTTTTCGAATATATTCGATTGTCGAATAATATTATTCGAAAGTCGAATATTCGAAATTTTCAATTTTCGAATATATTCGATATTCGAATATTCGAAAAAAATTTCGAATTTCCCCAAGTATAGTGGTCAGCGATTAGTCGCGCCGAATAACTATCACAACCGAATGGCAAAATGATCAGCATGCAATGGACTCGTAACAGTTGTCTTGCCTAGAGAATCGCGAGGCGATGAAATCGCGTGATGTATGCCCGGCCCTTTAAGCTTATAGAAATGAGCAAAGCTTTGGCGATTGTGTCTTCAAAGAAACTTATGGGCCACAAAATGACCAAAACGACTACCCTTGTTGAGACGCTGATATCTCAGTCTAGACAGCTTCTAAGAAGATAGGATAGTGTGCATTTTGTAGACAGTTTCTGCTACATATAGTAGCCGAACTTTCAAAGAAATGCCTTCATTGGCATTTGAAAATGGCCAGAAAAGTAAGTGCAATAAAGTTCTGATATCGAGTGCGGTTTTGTGAAGTTTTGCGAACTTTCAACGAGTGAGGAGCTAAAAGATTGCTTCAGTTACCGTTGGATAGAGCATGAAAAGAATTTCGAGCTTGGTTTGTTAAGCCTTTTTTAAAGAAGGAAGTTTGATGGATAAAAGTTGTCCTGAAACCAGGGCTAAAAAAATGCGCATTACTTTTGCACCAACCTAGTAATACGCCGTTCTCTGCTTGGACTGCAGTTCACATCACTGACATTACAGTGGTAAACATCGCGTATTTTCACATTGAGTGATATCCGTGCTAAAGCCGATTCACGACTGAGGCAGACCAAGATGAGCCTTCGATTCTACTCCCGTATCACCGCTCAACAAACACATACTTCATTTCGATTTGACCCTGTGTAATACATTATCAGAACTCGTTGCTTAGAGAAGGTTGGTTAGCGCCACTTTATCTGAGGCTTTACTTAGTTTCTGGCAATCTTTCCCATGTCTGCTACCTAAAGTTACAGCTACGTAAAATGAGTTACATTCCAAACGACACTAGTCCGGCGCAATATCCTAGAAATTACTCATATAAAAACATCGTCAACACCATGTTGGAGAAGGTGCGTTTTGATCGTTTTAGATTGTTTGGATCTCAAACAGACTTAATCTACTGTTTGTTTTAGAACCCGCAACGAGTAAATGACTCTAATAATCGTAGAGTGGTGAGTATGTTAGGATCTATCATGTCTTAGGCTTTCTATGTCGATGGGGTCCAAAGAAAAATGACTTTAGTTTCAGAGTTAGCCTCACCAAATTCATTGCAACCCTGTAGACTATGTGGCTAACATAAAATTTGCATATTTTTTGAATATGCTTAGACTACATGGAATAACCAAAATAGCCATCTTGAAAAGATACTACTTTTCCGTTATCCGGATCCTATTATTGGACGAAGTGTTACGAAGTGTTTACCCTATTTCTTGATTAGTAAATCACCTCTGCCGTAGATGCTCGGACTGGCTCGACTACGCTCTTGCATTCCGTGCTCGTCCAGTGGGAGAATCTACAGTGAGGATCCAGCGGATAATGCTAGCTAGCAAACTATCTATATACCAGTGCGTCACATCCGCTTCGCGGAGGCTCGCACTGGCTCTCCTATCCGTTTGCCTTTCTCATGTTCGCATAATGATGACTTTGAAACCCACCATGCGATGCTGAACATCACAAATGAATAGTAAACAACTGTTCATTCTTGAAGCATCTCCACGTAAGATCGGGAATGTTGAGAGAAAAAAAACTTGTCGCAAAGGAACACCTGCAAATTTGATTAGATTACTGAATTTGTTTTGGCTTGGTAGTCGTCATAAGGATAATAGTCACTTTGAGCTAGATTTCCGTGCAAAAATCTTCCCAAGTCTGAAGGTAAAACCTTGCCAAATCGACTATCTATGCGATCACCACTTCTTGGCACTGTTGTCGCAGAAAAGCAAACTTTTTGAGCACTTTTTGGGCTAGAATTCATAAGGCGCAGATGTACTTGTCAGGCAAATCATGACTTCGCAAAAAGTCGAATTAATGACCTAGTTTTGCGTGCCAAAAGCCGCGTGGGCCCATTTGACGCGCAGTTTTTAAAGGTCCCAAATATCGGATCAGCTCATGCTTTTGCACTTTTTACCTACATGCTGGTAGGGTGCCATGACCAAAATTTCAGCTCAAGACCTTGCCTACAAAACGCTCTATGAATTTCGTGACAGACAGACATAAACACACACACACACACACACACACACACACACACACACACACACACACACACACACACACACACACACACACACACACACACACACACACACACACACACACACACACACACACACACACACACACAACACACACACTTTATTATAAGTCATGATATATGTAAAACTCAAAAATTGTCTGGAAATTGCTAAGGATGTTTGTGTTTTATACAAATCTTTCTGGGTGGACCGACTGAGATGAGTTTTGCTCCCATGTCAATAAGCCACGGCGCGGAACATAGGCTACTTTTCGTGACGATTCACTGGGTCCTTCTATTGATTTATCGATTTGTTTACGTAAATTTAGGAAAGCTTATAAAATCATTTGTACCAGTGCTTCACCTCTGCTTCGCAGAGGTTCGCACTGGCATCGTGAACCGTGCTGAACTCACTTTCTGAGAGCTTGTCTCTCAAATCATTGTTCGGTTTATTGCAAAGTGAGCCGTAGTTAAAAATGAACCATACTCGCTATCTTAACCTCACATGATGTTTAGTATCGTAAATCATTCCTCACTGTAATTTCGTAACGGACAAACTCCACACAACTTCAGATTAAGCCGCTTATTATAAGTCATGATCATGATGATGAGTGGGAGTGAACTGTAGCGGTACTTTCCATTCTGAGTTTTTGCATGCAAAGCGCAGTGGCAAGAAGTGCACCTCAAGTAGGTTCCCTTTTACGTTCAAAAGCGAAGTATGCGCTTACGTTGGAGTGTGTAGGATCCTTCAGCAACATTATAGGCGCCAATTCTCAATGTCATTTCTATTTCAGCATGTACAGGGGCTTATCAAGTGCAGTGTAGGGCGCATTATCTTCCGCTTCCGCGCGGCCGCCTCGCCTGACTCTGAGTCTTTTTCGCGAACGTGCTCTCTGATAACTTTTCCACCGCAAGCGTGGGAAAGGTTGTCAGAGAGCATGTTCGCTGATGAAGTGCAGACATGTTTGCGGAAGAAGTGCAGAGTCCCGCGCGAGAGCGGAGATGCGGGTGCACCTGACACTGCAATTGATAAGCTTTGTATGTAATAGGCATAAGACCTACTGCTGCGAATCCAAACTATGGCATCAAAAATAGCAGTATTAGTGACCGTCATCCATGAAATATTAGGTTGTCAAGAAAATAATGTCGTTTTTTTATTTGCTTGCTTTAACAAAGCAACCAGACTCAACCCAATAAAGGGTAATGGGCACTGTTCGATAGAGCAAAGCAAGCTCTACAAGATGGCGTTCATAATATTGCGCCAAGATCGATCCACGGAAAGTTTGAACTCAAAATCTGAAGATTTCCAAATGCCCAAAAAATGGAAAAAAATCAGATCTTCGTCCAAATAATTTCTACGGACCTCCCACTCGCACACGTCAATACTTTCGATATCTAATATCCTTATGTGCAGCTGCTGTACTTTTTCCTTGACTGGAAACTGAGAAAACGAAAATTTTCGTGTTTTTCAAAAGCAATGCAGAGCCGTTCTTGCATATGTGATTCTATACTACAAGCTTAGGTAAGTATATCTATAGATTTTCAGCCCATTCCGAGCAGTACTTTTCGAGAAATATCGAAATCAGCTTTCTTCTTTTCAGTTTCAGTGCTAAAAGCGACATTTTTCGAAAATTACCGCTCGGAATAGGCTGAAAATCTATAGTTATACTTACCTAGGCTAGTAGTACAGAATCACATATGCAAGAACGGCTCAGCATTGCTTTTAGAAAAACACGAAAATTTTCGTTTTCTCAGTTTCCAGTCAAGGAAAAAGTACAGCAGCTGCACATATGGATATTAGATATCGAAAGTATTGACGTGTGCGAGTGGGAGGCCCGTAGAAATTATTTGGACGAAGATCTGATTTTTTTCAATTTTTTGGGGATTTGGAAATCTTCAGATTTTGAGTTCAAACGTTCCGTGGATCGAACTTGGCGCAATATTATAAACGCCATCTTGTAGAGCTTGCTTTGCTCTATCGAACAATACCCATTACCCTTTATTGGGTTGAGTCTGGTTGCTTTGTTAAAGCAAGCAAATAAAAAACGACGTTATTTTCTTGACAACCTAATATATTCGATGTCGTAACATGTGGAAAGAAGGATTCTTGAACTGTAGTAGCGATATAAGGAAACAAAACATAGAATCAAAACAAAATCAAGATCTTCACTCACTTTTCATAGCCTACTTTGTAGAGCAAAATGCCAGAAAAATAGGCATTGTTTAATTTCCTTCATTGAAAGCATCGGAGATAGATAAAAAAGCAACCGATTAGAGGACCGCACAATGAAAATGTTCTTATTGTGAATGATATGTTAATCACTCGCGACCCACTGCTTACGAGTATTGTTAAGTAAAATAAACACGCCTTTTCAGAAAATCCCAACAGAGATGTCAAACTAGCAAGAATAAATGGAGTGTAGTATTTTCGCAATGATCTGTTCCTTATCCCATTCATACTACTAAACTTTTACTGTGATTATATCTATAGATTTTAGTTACTTCTTTCAAAATTTACTTTCTTTATTCTATCCTTTTAAAAACTCCAAATTCAGATTAACATTGAGTTCGCAAGCAAAACACTTTATGTATAGGTCGTAAAGATCATAGCAGTTGAAGCTATTTAAACATTGATAGTTTACTGAATTCAAAGAAGTAACCTGGGCGTAGCCGGGTATGCCAGCTATTCATGAATAAATTTGAAAGCCATCTATTCACTTCAAAATCTTCGCTATGCAAAATCGGTAAGATTGGAGGGCAAAGAAGCAGAAGAAGATTAATTCCATTCTAGTTCCAAGAACACCATGATGCGCATGACATCCCAGAGAGACTCTTGTTCTCGCAGTCGTAACTTCGAAAGTTTATTTAGAATTTATGTGATTATCTCTTTCAATGCCCTTTTTGCAAAAGAGTTGGCCAGAGTTTGTCAATCCTGTGAATGACACTTCACGCTTACGGATGTACGCAGCGACAGCTTTCACTTGTCAGCCGAGGCGTTATCCAAAAGAGGATGTAAGTCAGTGTCGCGTCGCCTACGCGTTGGAGACCTTGCGCATGTGTTTATTGAGCCCATGCACAAAAATTGCTTCAAACAAGAAAAGCAGCGCATTTTTTTGAAATGATGCGCGAGTTTAGTGTTGAACCGCTCCCTCGCTGCAGGACGCATGCAAACAGCTATTCTTTCCTTGAACTCTGCATAGATGAATTTGGATAGATGAACTTTCCAGATGGGGTTTTACATCTTTGACATAGTTACCTCTGACAGCTTATTAGTTGCAAAAATAGACTGTCGCGAGCTACATCTCTGTGCAAAAGACTCCTCAATCTCTCGAGTAAAACGTCGGAAAATTGGTCGTTTGAGCTATTAGCGTTTTCGCATGGGAACATCTTTCAAAGAATCACAACCATGGCTTGAACAGTTGAATATCAGACAAATTCATAAGTTTGCAAAAAAAAACTCAATGCGGAACATTTTTGCTGGGCAATAGCTCGCGTACTCGTGGCGCTTGATTTTCTGAAGGATCCGGGCATAGAGTACATTCAAACTTTTGTGCCTTATATGGTAGCATGCGAAAAATTGGGCCCAAGACCTTGACTAAAATTCGCTCTAAGAATTTTCGTAACGAACGGACACACACACGAAAGGACACCCGTGACTTGAGCATGGGGCCAGGCGTGCCCGACCTGTATGGTTGTGTTGAGGGTGAGACTGAGGGAGAGGGGGGGGGGTGTCGTAGTCAAGAAACATATTCGTTCAAAATTTAAGAAATACCACGATTCAGCAAGGTGAGGAAGAAAAGCGCTAGACTGGTGGGTATCACACCGGTCCAGTGTTAGAACTGAAGGAATGATTGCCGTGAACAGAATATTGCCACTATAACGTTTTCTGAGCACGAGTTTCAAACATGATTTCAGCGGTTTCAAGAGTGATACTCTCTGTCG